CACGGCAAGAATTTCTGCTGCTTCAGATTTTGAAAAACAAAGGGGAAAAGAATGAATCGAGAGTGCCTGATTCACGACACCAAGTGCAGTATTTAGACCCTACCCCACCGGCCCGGTGCTAGAGGAAAAGATTCTGAATGGGGTTGTGTCTGCCAGTTTTTAAGCAAAAAGCGTTTGACCAGAAATCTCTGCCCATCTGCATCTACCGTAAATGGCTTTGTTGATCTCAAATCTGGGCTCTAGTTCGAAAGAGCCCCGTAGGCAGCCTGAAGCCAGAAGAGAGCTGGAAAATCACAACCTCCGTAGCAAAGCAAATTAACCTCAGCTGGAACAAGTGACAGGGACAGCAATACAGGAGCCAGCCTGGTTTTCTGGCACGATGTTCAAGGATGCTGTGCAGCAGGGCCGAGAGCAACAGGACATTCACAGCCCATGATAAACTCCCTTAAAACGTGCTAGGAAAAGGGTGACCCTAAACCTGGTGACTGGAATTTTACCAGTCTGCTCGCACGGCTTACAGCAGAGACACGCTGGGATTGCCCGTCAGACATCAGCCGGCGATCCTGTGACAGGCCCGAGAGCCGCAGGACAGGGCTCAGCACCCCAGGCTCGAACTGTCCAGAGTCCCCATCCACTCCACGAGCCCCTTCATTACAATCCTTTCATTGATCATTTTTAACTGGCATATTCACGGGTCAAATGGGTTGTTTTCTCTAATGTGTGATGTTTTATATCCTTGCGCTGCACACTGTCAGCATCTTACCGTAAAATAATATATTTCTCTCTCTGCCTCCCTGCCTGGGGAGACTGAAGTTCTCACTGGACGCTTCAAGAGTACCTGGGACTGGCACCTGTCCGGGAGGGGATGGGAACAGTGAATCCTGCACTCTACAAGGGGAGCTGGCCAAGGCGATCCTTGAGGGCCTTTCCTACCGTAGATACTTTTAATCTCAATTCGCAGTCTTGCCATTTAAAGCTCCTAATTGACCCCGTTATAAAGGAGCCAGGCCAACATTTATAGCTCAGCAACCTGCACACACTTGCTAACGTGGCAGGTGGCAGAAAATCAATGGCCTGTTTACTAGAATATCCATCTCCAATGGGGACAGATGCCGGATGCACTGCAGAGGAAGCCAACGGTCTCTTAACCTGCGCCTAGCACTGCGATGCTGCAAGGTGCCGCCGTCGGGGAGGCGATGTCTCCCCGCCAAAGACCTGGGAGGAACAGGTTAGAAAGCGTCCAGGACATTTGACAAGTTAAGGATTAAGCAACTGGTGCTGTGCACCGAGGCCGAGCGACCGCCTTTTCTGTCAATACTTGCCTGTGATAACAATACAAGATACAAGCTGCCTGAGCTCTGAAAAGATAACTCCACTCATTTCACTGGAGTTCACATTTGAAACTCTGCATAAGCACAGAAGAAACAGAGACCCAGCAGAACCAGGACCCCCAACCCTTGAGACTCAAGGCACAAAGACGAGTGCGTTGGCTTCCTTGGTTCGGGGACGTATTTGGTAGCCGGGTTGGTGTAAGACAAAAAGAAATAAAAAAAACTCTCAAACTCTGGGTGATACTTTTTTATTAAACTAACTAAGAAATCACACAAAAAAATTATCTTTCTTTGCAAGGGGACTTTTACCATCTTTAATTTTCCCTAAGCCTGAAGAAGGGTGCGTGCGCCCAAAAGCTTGCTAAGAAGAATTTGTCCAACTATCTGAGTTGGTCTAATAAAAGATATCGCATCTACCCAAAGACCCGGGCCTGCCTATGTCCTTAGATCAACACAGCTACAACCTACACCCCTGCAAAAAAAAAAAAGACAGATTTTTTGTGATTTCTTAGTTGGTCTATTAAAAGGTATCATTTCTGAACCAAGAGCTGTAGTTTTGCATTTCTTTTTGGCTTCCTTGGGGACGCACGGTCAAGACTTCAGCTGGTGAAGACCTCAGCGCTCAAGCAGCTGGCGATACGGGAAACCGTACCACGCAGGGTTTGAAAAGGAACAACATGACAATCAGCTCGGCCCCTCGGAAACCAACCGCGCAGCCAGTGACGGGCTGTGTTTGCAGCGCTGAAGTCAGCACGTGACCACGACCGCACGGGCTCTGCCAACGAACTGGGAGCTCGGGTCCCTGGAGAACTATTATAACTTACTGCAAAAAAAAGAGAGAGAGAAAAAGAGTGGGCGGGGGGAAGAGGGGAAGAAAACAAAAATATTTGTAAAACTTAATGAGATTTTTCCACTACTGCTCCAGACTGGTTTTCAGGCACTCGGCCAGCCCTGCTTTAACAAAGCACGTGGCTCTCTCGCAGCTATGTGCTTTAATGCTGAACAAGAGAGACAGGCTGGACCGGGCAGCTAAGCAACCGACCCTTTGATGCAGGAGGAAGGACGTCAATGGGCTGCATCACTGCACAGGCTCCGGGGTCGGGGAACCCTCCTACTACATATCGCTGCCCACACAGCGAGTGTGGCTCCCGGCTCCGTTGTACGGGCCTGGGGAAGGGAGGAGGAGGAGGGGGAGGCGGACAAAACGCAAAGCATCGCTTCTCACTGGAGTGAAAGGACAAGGCTGAATCACAGGCTTACACACTCGCGCTGGCAATACGGGAGAGTGGCGGGCCTGGAAGGTAAAGAGCCAACGCCATGACGGCTTGAGCTGCCGCACACTAAGTTAATTAGACGCTGACGAACGTCGCGCAGGCCGCCACGATGCACAGGCTCTCTCAGTCCCACCACAAGCCCTTGGAGCTTGGCGAGCCACAGATCCAACTCTTCTGGGTCACCCCTGCTTTTGTATGCACAGAGCTGACCCGCAGGCCAAAGTCGAATGCACTTGGGCAGGATCAGATGTCCACAGCAAGGTGGGCATCAGGAAGCATCTTGATGGCCACCTTGCTGGGGTCATCTGACCCCAGCAGTCTTTCCAGCTGGAGGGGCTGGACCCG